AGCTTGAACTGCACCCCAATGGGATGTGTGACACTCACCATGAGGGGAACAACTTGCCTTGCAATGAAGTTTATCAGGAAATAATTGGAGGGAATAAATCTGGAAACTCTCAGCACCAGCTTCATTCTGGGCTCTAATGATACAATCCAAACCTTTGAATTTGGGGAAGGGAGAGTGTTATCGACACAACACGTTAAACAACCTTAACTCCAGTGAGCAATGGCACCACTATAACACTTGTTTATTAGCAAAATGCATCTGATCTCAAAGGCCTGCATGACAAGTTCATTACATATCAATTTAATTAGCTGATTTACATTTAATTTACATTTCAATTAATGTCTTTATCAACAAAACGTTGCCTTAATAGGGTAATTGCCTGTTAGGCAATATGTAAAAGAATAAATAGTCACATTCTGAGGAAGAATTCCTATTTTCAATTTTTTATTACCATAAATAACCTAAATAATTATTGCTCTTAAGGGGCCACGTCCCAGTTCCCTTCTGGGCCTAATTATAAAGACTTAGTACCTCATTACGCAAAATGGTTTCGGAGTCACAGAAAAGCATTACTCTAATCGTGACTCATTAGTTTCAACAAAAGAGGGGAAAACTGCAAAAGTCGGCACATTTCGCCATATTATTCTTGTGGTTCATAAGCAGCAGCACATTTGAGAAGTGGCTGTTACAGCTGTGTAGGCGTTTCTGTCACGAAGCCCTATTTTCAGAGGGGGTTTTTTTGTGTAACTTTGGTCTTTGGAAGAGAGTCACGTCCGACTGGAAAGGCTGGCTCATACCCCTGGCACGGCACAAGAACATTGAACAAACCTTTGGTCTTCTGTTCCCTGAGAGCTCATCTTTTCCCCACGTGCCTACACGCATGGTGGCTTGGTTTGAGGCTGTAATGTGGAATCCATCTTCTTCTACCGTGCCAGAAGTGTTGCTTTCATCACCAGTGCATAGAAAACGGACATGCCTTTTAGGATTTGAATTCAACAATGCTTTATCACAGTGCTCCTTCCTTGTAACTAGAGAGCAAAAATCAACTGATGGCTTGGGTGTGACCAGACTGTGACTTTAAGGCTCTGAGTGTTGGATCCAACCGACTGTGGCAATCTGATGTAAAACACTGATCTCGTATACACTCACTCTGCAGGTTTAAATTCGTGCAAAAATCCGTGGAAGGTTTGGCATGGTGCTGGCGGGTTTTATGGTACATTAGGCATCGACTCTCTGTGCTAGTCTAACGTTACACCGGATTTGGCATCGTCTGTCCTTCAGCAGCCAGTGCAGAGCCGATGTTAAAGCATTAAGCTGGCACAAACTCTGTGTCAGGAGCTCTGGTTGGTTTGATGTACATGTCTGCACTGCATTTGGATGAAGTTTGTTCTGCTGGTGATCCAGTGGTGCAGAGATCCAGCACTGATGACTAGAACTAAGGCACTGATTGCATTTGCTTAAAATGATGTCAGGTAAGAAAATGAAAAAGGGACTGACTAAGATTTTGTTTATCAAATAATACATTCATAATATTCCAGGAATATATATAGCTTTTAAAAAGAAAGTGTTTAACTAATGAGAAAACCACCTTTCAATATAGTGTTAGTTTCCTTATTAACCTTTAATGATGACTCATATGTAAAAGAAACCCAAACTCAAACACCATGCTATTCTTTCTTACATTGCAGATAAAACCAAAGCTAGAAATGGGATTTTTTTAATGATAACATTGTGCAGCTTCTAAGAACAGATAATCAGTGGGGTTTTCTTTTTTTTCCCCTCTTTTTTTTTTTTTTTTCTTATTTTTAGTGACTAATTGTTATTGTCCTCATTTTACAGGTAGTTAAATTGGCGGCATAGAAATGTTAAGTGATGTTTCATCTTTCAGAGCTGTAAGGAGAACCCTACCCTCACAATCCAGCCATCCTGCTCTAATGTCTACTGAAGTCAGTAACGGCTTTAGTGGATTTTAGATACGCCACCTCCAACTCCAGGGTCTTCAGGTGACTCAAGACTGTGATGCAAATACCACCCCATACTGTGCCAGATTCTTACTGGTGTAACTCACCCAATTTACCTGGTGTAACTCACCCAACTCCAGAAGGAATTCATCTGGACTATGTGCCTGGGCAAATTTATTGCCAGAGACCGAGCAAATTCTAGCTCCTTAGTGCTTAATTTTCCTATCACAGGGTGCTGTATGTATATGCCATTAGGACAGTGAAAAAGAAATCAGGTGGGAGTAATTTTCTTCTAATACTAAATGCACCCTGTCACTGGGATAAGGAAAACAGTGCTGACTTTAGAGAGAAAGAAGTTTCTTCTTCCAAAAAACCTGACTTATTCCTTTCAGAAGTTAATTGCTTAGGACTCAGATGTATCTCCTGGTATCCTGCATTTTAGTTTTGCTCCTATACTTGATGGATCTGGAATTCTCTTCCAAGCTGCTAACTCAATTTTTGCTTTTTAAAGCTCATTTAAAACCTTTCCTACTTTCCTGTGTCTGTGATTAACACTAATCCACTCTACCCTTTCTATTCCTACAGCTTCTTACATTCTCCCCTCGCTGCAGCCTGCAAGAATTCTAATTGGCATCTGCTCTTCTTTTTTGGGTTTCCATTTTTTTCTTTCTTCGTGCTCCATTTTCTCTCTGTTGCTATCTGGGCTGCTCTGTGCCATCCTGTTATACTTTCTAGCCCAGATCTGCCTAGTGCTGTAAAGGATTTGATTATTTTCTTTAGGAAGGACTCTAATAATAGCCACAATCCTGCCCCTTTACAAATCTCTCTTACAATGAGAAAAAAAAAAAAAGAAAAAAAGTTCTGCCCTCCAGAGTGAATTCCACTGAAAACCAAGTTCTTGTTAAAATAAAAAAAAAAATAAAAAATCCCTCTCTGTTCCTGATGGATTGGAGAAATTTTAAAGGAGCAATATTATAATTTATGGGGAATTTGAGCATAGATCTCAGAGCTCCCTATTAGACAGGGTGAGTTCAGCTATTATTTAAAGAAAGCATTTCACTTTTCTTCTCTAATACAACAAGAAGCTACAGTTTATAGCAGGAAAACAAGCCAGCCAGAATGTCCTTGAGGTTCTCTAGTGACTTTGCTGTTGTCAATCAAATTAACATGGAAGATGCCCAAACACAGCTACTTTAATGGGCAGAGGGACAAAACTCCTGACACACTGCAGAGAGGCTTTTGAAAAACAAGTGACTAGATGCCATCTGAGCTGGATGAGGCTAACGGAAGCCAGAGCCTAGGACTATAATGGGATGTGATGGATTTCAAGCTGTAACTGCCATTTCAGGTGGCCTATGCCAAAATTGTGATTTCTCTGCCCCCTCTTCAGCTGCTACCTCAGCCCGGCTGCCCAGAGGTGAAGCCTTTTCCCCTGAAGACTGGTGACTGACGCTCGCTTCCTGGCCATGATCAGAAGCAGCTCAGTTAAGACAACTCTGTCAAGCCTGGAGCCACTCAGAAGCCAGCACTCCCTGCTGCCCTCCTCACGTCTCCTCTGGCAACGCCAGGTGCTGAACTGCGTGAGCTCCAAAGTGAATTGTTCAGAGCTTTTTTTTTTTTTTTTTTTAACATGTTTTACAGTTACAATGTTTACAGACAGAACATACTGTTAGACTATTAGGGTAGCCTCTTGTATATCATGGACCATTAAATACTGCTGTCACTCTTCTTTTTGTTTGATTGAAGTATGTTTTGTTTTGACAAAACCATTTTTTAGTCAGCTCCTCATTTTCCCTTGGTATTGTCAGAAAATGGAGAATTCACTTTCCCTTTGATAGCCTGTTCCACTGGTTACCCACTTTCTCTGTTACAATATAATGCCCAATATCTAATTCAAAAGTTTCTAGCTTCAGCTTCTAGCAACTACCTCTTGCTATGCCTTTCCCAGTTCTATTAAAGATCCATATAGTATCCTGCATTTTACAACACAAAGGTACTACTCACTGTAACCAAGCCACAGCTTTTGGCTTTCCACTCAGGGCACTGTGCTACCGCTGCTGCAACTACAGCCCTCACAGCTAACTTTCAGTAAGCAGCAGTTCTTCAATGCCGAATAAAGTGCCCTTTTGTACACTTCCAAGCCAGCTACTCTGAATCACTGCAGGACCAGAGTCGCTGTGTGTGGGACGGCAGAAGAATGGACAAGAATAGTTGGTAATTTCTGCTTCCTCCATGGCCATTGTCTTGAGCTGCTTTGCCAATGCAACAATGTTCTTTTCTTTGCTTTTTAAGTACAAAGATGTACATACATAAGGAATAAAAAGCTCTAATTTATTCTGCAAAAGTGTTCATCAAGTGAGAGACAGGACTCTGGGAAAAGATTAAGAGCTTACATTTTTCATTTGACTTATTTCACATAAAATTTCATAGAGGATAAAATGATGGGAGGCAAAGAAGCAATGATATTTCTGTTTTATCTCTGTCTAAGGACCATAAATCTTTCTGAAGTATCATTAATTATAGCAGCGCCATTCATGACGCTATTGTTAAGGGTCTATCAGCAGTCCCATTATAAACCCCTATTTTCAGGCATTTATAACTTGGTTAGAAGAATTTTGTTTCAGGCAAAAACTTTGCTGGGGCAATGTCTCCATCTAAGACAATTTTTTTTAAAAATGTAAAACACAAAGGAGCGTTACCTCTTTTGAACTAAGGGAGAGCCCAGGGAACTTTCTAGGGGTACAAAGCTCATGCTGTCTTGGCTGATTGTGTCTAGATCATTTGTGAATTCATAAGACTGTACTGATAGAACTTATCTCTTGGATGAATTTAGATCATTCCTTTACAAAGCAAGTTTCCAATTATTACAACTGAATTCAAGATCAGGACTATTCCTCTAGTGGCTGTAATCAAATCAGATTTGATTCCTTCTTTAGCTGCAGCCAATCAAGAAAGAAATTAGCAGATCTGGAAAACATCTTACATGTTAAGAAAACTTCAGTGTCTTTAGGTAGCTTGCCTTTTTTTGTTGTTTTAGGCATGACGTACATCAAGGATCAGTTAACGGTCACATCCACCAAAGCAAGTACTGGCTTACCAGCAATACAGAAAAATTGCTTTGTCATGGCTGAGCCATAGTGAAATGTTAAGGGAGGCACTGAGTTTCTCCAGATGTGACGTGAAAAATGCTCTTCAGAAGGTGCTAGTGAGACTGAGAGGGCACAGGGAAGAAAGGTCACTGCTTCGCCCACATAACAATACAACCAGCTGGCCTTTTTCCTGCACCAACTTGTAGGTTCATCAAGACAGCCTAATGCTCTGCCCAGTTATGTCCTTGGCACATTAGGAAAGAGCAAGATGCTCAATAAGACAGGATCGACAAAATCATTATGGCCTTTTTCTAAGGCAATAGTTATTAATGAATGCTAACTTCTGGGCAACTTTTTTCCTGCTTTAAAGTAGAAAGATTAGATGAAAATGTATTTTGTGAAGAGTGTGCTGACACCCTCAGGTAATCTTCATCCTCTGTCCTCATCAATAATCTAACACTCTACCTTCCCCGTTACATTACTGTCTGCAGTAATGCAATTCACTTTGGTCCCCTTAGATCCTATTAGAATCTCTCACATTATAGAGTTCTTCCAGCTCTGCTCTATAGCATACTGGGATTGTTTAGTCTTAAATTCTGCTGTCTGTTTTCCTCGACTACAATTCTTTGCACAGGAATTGACTTTTGTGAATTACACATTTAACCTAGCAGTGTGTGAGAAGATCAAAATAAGTAATGCATGTGGGTATTTTCCTATGGGGTCCCTAAACCGCTCTGATTCTGCTTTGAACACTGTTGAATGTATCTTGTGATAATGAGTTCCACTATCTAAAGTACTTTCTTCTATCAGTTTTGATTGTGTTGTCTTTTAATTTCATTGCATGTGTCCTTTGAAAGGATAAATAGGCATGGGTAAATAGAAGTACCTATTTCTACATATTATTCAGTCCCTTATGTACCTCTTTTGTATTACATCTTATTTTTCTCCTCTCCAAAGTAAAACAGTCTTAATGTTTTGTTTGTTTGTCTTTTCTAATGTGGAAATCTTTCAATATCTCATAATTTGTTGCTATTATTTGAGCAGATGTCTTCCTGGAATTCTCCACAGTTATTCATGACAAGACAGGCGTACTCGGTGACGATATCTAAATAAAGGGCTCGATGTGCAGTAAGACAGAGGTCTCTTCTGCCGGCTCTGTCAACATCAGGGGCCTGGAGTAGGCAGGAATGGCTCTCTGACAACATTCATAAGAATTGCAGTAGAGGGTGGAAAAATGTGGAAAGCTCCTTTATTTCCTTCATTGTTATTGCCAGAATGACTGTGCAATGCCACTTTGCACCCAGTGTAATGATTCCTAAGTTTAAGGAGAAAACCATTCTTGGCTTCTTAGCCGAAAGTAAATCTCTGACAAACTCAGTCATGTTAGACTTGGTCTCTGATCTCCAGTTTTATCTGATCGAATTCTGCCTAATCCACAGTATTTTTTAGATTCTGAACTTTAGAATATCCACTGCTTGCAAACCTCACTCTTCCCATTTTTCCAACTTTACCTATTTTGTCGCATATTTCAATACACTGAAACTCCTGAGGCCTGACTGTCATGAGCACTGCAACACTATGATATAAATCTTGTGCTAATTATCTTAAACCAGCACAGACCCACTCTTGACAGTTACTCCTGGTTTGCCATGATAGAAATAAAAGAATTGAGTATTTTCATGACATCAGGGTTCTTCCATAGCAGGCATGTTGGAGGGCCTGGAGGACATAAAAAGATGAAGCTTTTAAATACGGGAGATTGCAGAAACCTTAACAAAATGCAAAGCTGTCATCCAGGCTCTTTTATTACATGGAACTAAGTATAAGCAGCGTTACAAGAAGATTTACTTTTGTAAAAGCCAAGGAATTCATGCACTTTCACAGCAGGGAAACTTTATAGCAGTTAAAACCTCAGGCCTATTAAAGTAGCATGCACTTTTTGTGGTTTTGCTTATTAGCAAATGGATTTGTGCTCAAAGTCAGCGCTTCCCCTCGTTGTCCCCCAGATTCCTGAATCATTACTCCTGCTGTGCAAATGTAAGACAAGATCATTCAATTCACTGTAATGAGAAGGTCCAGATGGATCTCACACTGCTGGAGGAAGGGCTGGACAGGAAAAGCACTGCAGCAGCAGCCTTTCTTTCCAAGGCCCAGCGGGGCGAAGTGGCAGAAACTGCAGACCAGAGGGATGAAGCAGCATCTTTGTGCAGTGCATATCCCTCGTCTACCCCTGACTTTCCCTGGTTTACCAAGGAAAAGCACTGAAATTCATCGCTGCCTTATCACTTCAGAGAAGCTTTCTGTCCTGCCTTGTGCTCCTTTTTCAAGGGCTATAAAGTACTTCTGTTCCAGGGCACTGCACATGGATATTAAATTTTCATCACAAACATGATGCCATTTTTGATTTCAGCATTTATCTATCTTCTGTTCTTATATGGCCACACTTACCATAATATGTCATACTTCACAATCTTTAACACATTATTTATCCCTCCAAAAAGCATGTATATGAAAGGTACCTGAAAATAAGCAATAAACTATTTTAATATTTGTTACCCTCTGAGGCTATGGATCTTTGAGAATTTTCTCTTCATTAACTCTGGAATGCTATTCATAACCTTGAGACTGATAATGCATAGAAAATGATTTTATTCGTGTCAACCCCTCCTTAATATAAGTATTAGAGATCTGCAATTCAAAAATGAGTCTTTTTCAAGCCCTAAATACAGAATCCTGTCCTTTGCTCAGATTAAAAAAAAAAAGACAGCTGTTACAGAAGCCACATTAACAAAAATAAGGCCTGCATTTCCAGTCATTTATTTATTTTTAAAGATTATCAAGTATTAGTAGTGGTATTTAATCCATCTATAGATTTCACTGCATCTATATGCACTGGCATATTATGTTCTTTGCCTAGTTTCTTTTTTAAAAAAAGCAAACAATCAAAACATTTTGAGAACACTATTTCTTTCCAGATCATTTAGCAGTAGCTTTCTAGATCACTCAGCACAATTTTTCTTTGAAATTGTAAAATTAAAACAAAGAAAGCTGCGGGATGCATTTCAGCCACTTCTCTCTTTTGAAGGCAATTAAAATTGTCCATTGAGTTTCCACCTCTCTCTACAGCTGTACTTGTGAATTTGGAAAGAATATTTAAAGGGTTAAACCCCCTCACAGTCCAAGGCTGAAATCAATTGCAGTTGCCAAAACAGCAAGTCAGACTATTTTGGTGTTATATGTGACTGTAAATACCCTGAGATCAATTTAGTAGCACAGACCTTGGGGAATACCCTTGATATGATCATAACAGTGATCAAGATCAGTGGCATAAATCTGAATTTGTCTAGTAATGAAAGCAGAAAGGTAGGCCTGAAAAGGCAAGTTTCATATGAGTGTGGAGAAGAGTCTCTGAATATGGGACCAGTTAAAATATACCACGTCCACTCTGTGTCTCACCTGGAGGACACCAAAACAAGACCCTCAAAGAGTCAAAAGTGCCTAGATGTCTTATTGTGGTTTAAACCCAGCTGGCAGCCAAACACTATGTGGCTGCTCATTCACCCTCCCCTCCCCCAGGAGATGGAGCAGGAATTGTAGAGACTCATAGGTGGAGATAAAAAGTTTAATAATAGTAATAAAATAAAACAATAATAGAAAGTACAAATGGGTAATGCACAATGCGAGTGCTCACCACTCACAGATAACCAGCCCGTTTCAGGCTTGCGATCCCAAAATACCAAGATCTCGCAACTGCAATCCCAGAAGTGGGAGTGGAACCGCTCCTTCCCAGCCACCCCTCCTTTATACACTGTTGGAGTCCTTGATCCAGTAGGATCTCTTAGGAACCACTTAAAACATCAGTGTATTATCAGCATTCTTCTCATACCAAATCCCATACTGAATCCTTAACTATTCTAGCTACTACTAGGAAAAATTAACTCTATTCCAGCCTAAAATAGGATGTAGGTGAAATCCAAGTATGTGTTGCAACAGAAGACAAATGAAAACAGAAATTCACTGATTTTAGCTCTTCAGCCCTGGAGCTGTGTAAAACTCGGTTGGTGTGTCCCCCTTTTCTGAAGGGATGGCTCTCTTGGCACCTTCCCCCAAAAGGCCCAAGAAGCTGGAGGGATACAGATATGCCCTGAGCTTCATGCTCCCTTTGGATGCCTCGCAGCACTCTGTTCATACGCGGCCTGTGTGGTCCCCTGCCCTGTACTGGATGCTTGAGCTTTTGCAGCAGCAATTCACCTCTCAAACACTGCCGCCATCACCGGGACTGTCTGTCCTTCGGGAGGCCGAGGGGCTGGAAATGACTCCACTTTTCATGCAGCCCCCCGCCAGCGCCGCGGGCCGCCGAGGGGA